CAAGACAAGCAAGACAGCATCACGCACTTGCGTTCCAGCTCGGCAATGCCCGTCACGCGCGCCTGCGTGTAGCGCACGACTTCGGCATAGAGAAAGGCGAGGGCCGCACTGCCGACGTGCGTCTGGCGGAACTTGTCGCGCGGCCGATCAAGCATCTCGCCGCCGCCTGCACTGCTGCCGACGCCCACGGCACTGCCCAAGCTGGCGGCGGCGGCGCCGAAGGACGACGTCGGCGCCGCGCTGGCGGAGGAGGGCGTGGCATGGTGCGGCGAGGCGAGGCCAGAGGCGCGCCGCGCGTAAGGCGGCAACGAGGCGCGCGGGGAGAGGGGCTGCGTGCTGCTGGAGGACGAGGCGGATGCAGAGGCGGAGGCAGAGGGAGCGTGCGAGGCGGCGCGCGACATGATGCGGGGGGGCGCCGAGGCGAGAGGAGAGAGGGCCGAGAGGGAGTCGGGACGATGGAGGCGATGAAGGCGAGGCGAGGAGGCGCCGCGTGGACCGTGCGTGCGGCCCGGCAGGGCATTACAATTGGCCAGGCGCGCATTGCCGAAGCAGCCAATACAAGACGCGGCACGGCGTCCTTGGGCGCTTGTAGCTCGAGCGATGCAAGTTGTACTGCAGCGCGGCGCGACGTTGTATGTGCGCGTGCGCGTGCGCGTGGCTGCAAGCGTCATCGCCGGCCTTCGTCGGGCCCGACAGCGCGCGCGCGCGACGGCGCTGCGCCTCTGCGCCGAGCGCTCCACCTTCCCCTTCCCCCCCTCTCTCGCCGCTCGGGGGCGCTCCGCAAGCATGTCCGACGCCCATCCCTCCTCCTCGCGCCTCTCCGACGCCCTCTCCTCGTCGGCCTCCTATCTCAACTCGCTCGCCGCCTACTCGCCCGCGCTGCCCGCGCTGCCCTCGCTGCCCTCGTCTGCCGACTCGACGCGGCACCTGCTCGACGTTGCGCCGCACCTGCTGCGCCCGCGCCTTGTATCCGCCATCGCCGCGCTGCCGGCGCCCGGCGACCAGCGCAGCAGCGCCATCACCGGCTGGGGCGGCCTGCCGCTGGCGCTCAGCCGCCCCATCTCCCTCGCCCACCCGGCACGCAGCCTGGCGCGCTTCGGCGCCGCAATCACAAGCGGCGGCGGCCTCTCGGCGGCCGAGCTGCGCGCGCGCGAAGAGAGCGCCGCCATTCTGCGCGATGCAGAACTGGCCGCCGCCGCCGCCGCCGCCGCCGCCGCCGCTGCTGCTGCTGGCACGACTGCAGGCGCGGCGAGCAAGGAGGCGAAACGCCTGCAGACGACGACGAACACCACGCAGGAGGAGGAGCATTCGTCGGAGGAAGAGGCCATCTCGTTGCTGCGCGGCTACGAGGCCACCCGTCCCGGCTCCCTCACGGGGCGCGCGCGCCGCAGAGAGGCGCGCGGCCTCGCCGTCGCCGCGCCGCGCCTGGGCCTGCGGCGCATGGGCGAGCAGGCCAGGGGACTGCTCGCGGCCGAGGAGGAGCTGGAGGGAGCACAAGGCAAGGAGGTGGGCAGGAAGACGTCGGGCAAGATGAGGACAAGGGCGCTCAAGGAGGCTAAACTGTCAGAAGAGGAGCTCAGGCAACAGAAAGAGGAGGTGGGCAGAGAGAAGCTGGACATTGGTGTTCGCCGCGTGAGTCGGGCGGTGCCCTCTCTCTCTCTCATATCCTCCTCTCTCTCCCGCGCGCCCGCCTCTTGTTTCCCCTGCCGCGCTCGGCGCTGCGAGCTGACGCCGGCGCCTCTCACACAAACAGGCACTGCTGCGCAAGGAAATCGCCGTCATCGACACGAAGCTCTCCTCGCTGCAGCTGGTGCGGCAGTCGTTGGAGGCGGCGCTGCTGGCGCTGCAGGAGCAAGAGCTGGAGCTCAACGACGAAGGCGCGGGCATCAGTGAGCTGCTCAGCCTGCAGGCGCACCGCAAAGGCATGCCCGGCGCCACAGGCTCGGGCGCGAGCAGCAGCGCGACGGCGGCAGGAGAGAGGAAGGGAGGCAGCTCGAGGAGGAGAAGAGGTGAGTGGGCGAGGGGCGAAAGGGCAGCTTCAGCGGCGGGGGAGGTGTAGGAGAGAGGCGGAGGAGTGCATAGTCACCAGTCGAAGGCAGGAGGGCGGGGGCCGGGATGAGAGCAGCTTGCGCTTGCGGAGCTAGAGCCAGCGTGGAGAAGGGCCCGCGGAGAGTCTGCGCCCCCCCTCCCCCCCATCTGGGTCCGCAGGGCCAAGGGGGGGAGGGCGAAAGCGTTGAGACTCGGCTATGCTTTCACAGAAGCCGCCTTGCTCCTTCGAGAAGTGTCGCTTGCTCAACAACTGACGCGCCTGCCGACCCTGCCCCGCCTCTCATTTGCGTGTTCTTCTACTGCCCCCCAGGTCCGCTCTTCCTGCCCTCAGAGCACGACGAGCTTCCCTCTGGCGTGGCCTTCATGGTGCGTAGCTGCAGCCCCGCATTGCAAGCGTGGCACTGCAGCGGCGGGGGGAAGGGGCGGTAGCTCAGGCCTGACTTGCTCTCTCTCTCTCTCTCTCTCTCTCTCTCTCTCTCTCTCTCTCTCTCTCTCTCTCTCTCTCTCTCT